ATGCAGGAAGAAAGCTGCGTAAACATGAGTGGAATCGAAAAATGTGAACGCATCATCAATGCGAGAATCGACAACAACAATATATATGGTTTAAATGTTAACGAGTGAAAACTTATAAGTAAAATTCATTTTTTAACAAAGTATGGACAGAGGTGGATTCCAAGATCAACATTAAAATTGTCAACAAAAATTCGAAGGACCACGAGAAGTCCTGGCCACACTGGAAGAAATCCAACATAAGAAAATGAATGTGTTCTTCAGTCACATCTTGCGAAACGGAAAGTGTAGTTGCAGACTAGGTTACAACGACAAGGAAAACAAAGTCATTTCCTCACAATATTATATCATAGTTCATTAAAACATTACACTGATTAAAATTTATTTTTAGATACCGATCATGTTACATGATAGAAAATCATGTTAATTTTGATATATTAATCATTACAATAATTCAAAATAATATCATAATATCCATTTTGATCATTTAATTTAATTGTATTCATAAATAATTATAAATATCCATTTTGATCATTTGATATTTAATTGTATTCATAAATAACTATTTTGTTACACTAAAGCTAGTCTAAAAAATATTAAGAAAAATTAGACCCCTTATAAACAAAATAAGTAAACTTATGGGATTAAAATTTTAATTATGTCGAACAAGATCTGTATATGTATCAATATATGTTCTTATAGTCTAGTTTGAGCAAATTTACTAGAATTTATTTAAGAAATTTATTTTTTTTCTTTGCAAGGGTATTTAGATGTGTTTGATATTCAAAACTATGAATAGGGGAGAATATTTTGAATTTTAAATGTGAGAAGGTATTTTGATGTTGTTATAAAGCTCAGATTACGCATCTGTATTCTGTCGAAAAACCAACCATTGCAGAAGGATGTTCGTCCCAACAAAAACTTCTTATAAATGAAGTCCATACATTATATGAATAATCATACATGGATTTGAGAAACTACGAGACTTAAGTTGTTACCCACATAGAACCCAACCAGAAATTGTCAGGAACAGTCCACGTCACCAAAATGTATGACCATCGAAGCCCATGAACGAAGCACAATATGTCAATCTAAGGTTGTCAATGAGAAGATTCACAATGATTGAAGCCCATATATATAACAGATGAGGCTCTCCAATCGAAGCCCCTACCATTCAAAGCCACCAAAGCTCCCCAATTTCTAAAGACCTCGGATCAAAGACGATTTCCAAGAAGATTCTCCGAGGCAGAGGCTGATGGAGGGTAGGGATGGGCTGAAAGCCCAAAGAAAAAGATCTTAAGGTATTTTTTTGTTTTTTATTTATAAAAACTATTTTTTTACGTGTAAAAAAAATTTCACGTTCTAATCCGGCCTGAAATTTTGTAGTCCTGTCTTAAATTCAATCCTAGACCCATCCCTGCTCTGAGGATCTGATGAAAGTGATTAATGTGACATCCAACAACTTAAACAAGTCAAGTCATGTTCGCCCATTGACCAAGAGTACTGACACGGACCATAGGACGGCTCACCTTTCCCAGATACTCAAGTGCACCATAGGATAAGTAGGTGATGGGACATCTGCAGCGAGACATCCTAGTAGGTCGGATGAAGCCATGTGCGCTTCATCCAACAATCACAGCTTCAACACAATCTCTTGTATCATTCTAAGGGTAATACAATTTCAAATACCAAAAGATATACAACTATTCTCTATCTAATCTTGGCATCATATCCATAGCTTGTTTCTACATATTCGAAATATATCTCTCCAAAGGTTATGTTACCCTGATGCTCAAACATTTTATTGGCCTTTTTTTCTCAAGGAGCGATTTTCTTTACACATGACAACATGTAGATGTGAGTGTGGCAAAGGTTTCCAATTGACTCGTTTTTAGGAATTAATAGTCTCGAAAATTAAAGTGAGTAACATAATTAATAGTCTACAATATCAATATCAGTAATACATTTATCAATCTATATTTACTAAGGTATGGTAACTTTAATGGTGTTTATTGATGTTTTAAACGTGTTTCTATATATAGAACAATGCACACAAACATTTTGAGGTCCGAATTAGTTTTTTGAACTACAATGCATGTAATTGATATTATATAATTGTATTAAAATTTCATATGGCTCATTTAAGAAGTTTGAAAAGTTTAGAGGTTGAAATTAAATTTTTGAAGTTTCCAAGGGCTGAAGTGGAAGAGTAAAAATATCGTGTTAGCATAGAGAAATTATGTAGGAGGCAAATAGAATAGTATTGATGGGAAGTTATTATTTTCCCAAAAATAAATAAAATAAAAAATTCAACTTCTGGGCTAGCTTGCAATTTTTTAGTTTTTAAGGACTTGAGTAAAAATATTGAAATATATGCTATTAGCCCCAGTTTTTTAAAAGTCGTTTTTTCATAAAACCATTTCAATTGTGCATTTTATGAAATCGTGTTTTTTTTTTTTTTTAACTTTTCAACCATACATTTCATCAATTTTTAGAAAAAAAATTAATAAAATTTGATTTTTAACCAAACCATATGGGGATACTTTGTGATTAGTGAGAGTAGGATAATTTTTACTAGAAACCAAATTTGAGTTCATTTGAAGCTTCCTAGATTTTGGGACTAAATTGCAAAATTGAAAGTTCGAAATAAGCACATTTCTAAACTTTTGGTAACTTCGTGAACTTGCGTGTGGTAAATGAATATGAAAGGACATTCTTTTGAATTTCTACTTGTTTTGGTGTAAAAAGCTCATCTTTTGAAGTTCTACTTGTTTTGGTATAAAAAAATTAAAATTGGCCAGTTGAACAGATCCGAGCAATTAATTTCACGATTCAACTCGGCACAACTTGCAAAATTTACCTAGTATTGTATAGTTAAAGTAAGAGTCATCATTTGGTTGATTTTCATTTTCTTTTCTCTAAATGATTATTATTTGGACAACTTAGTAAAAAAGATATCTTATTTCAAATATTTGTCAAAAGGCTTATTTTTAAATTGATCACATCAATTTTCAACTTGACCAACTCAACGTTTTACTTGATTGGTTACTAACTTATTAGTGATCAGTAGAGCTCGACGACCTATTGTATTGTTCAAGGTTCCTCAATATCCTTTGTACTGATTGTGATTAGAGTAATGGTGATGTGATGATTATCGTTATCCTACTAGGGTAGCACCATACACATTGACTTGTGAGTTTTTTTTTTAATTGAACTGTTATTATTATTATTTTTAACTAAAACAAAAATGTTCTTAAAAAGGAAAAAAACACTGAAATAAAAGAAAAATGTTCTCGAAAGTGAGTTTATTGTCCGACAACAGTTGCATGACTTTGATAATGCCTTTGTAATCTATTCTTATGAAGTTGATATCCACATAAATGTGTTCCCCTTGACACACATATCTCCTTTTTTTTATTTTTCATTCATTCCGTTCAAAATTTACGTCCCTATAATTTGTCATGCATTTTGATGCTCAACCTCCAAAAAAGGGTCTGTCATGTATGTAATGTGTTGTGTTCAAGATCTGATATAGCTTATGCTGTAAAGTGTATTAAGTAGATTCATTAGTAATCCAAGTGAGTCTCTTTGGGAATGCATGAAAAACCTGATTAAATACTTGAAAGGTACATGTAATTTAGGACTCATGTTTAGAACAAATAAAGATGGTTGTAAACTTAAAGGCTTTGTTGATTCTGACTTTGCTAGAAACCTAGTGCAGGCACAAAATACAGCAAATGTGGAGATTGTAAGATATGGGTTGCTGAATTTTGTTGAGGCCCAACTATCTCAAAAGCCGGTTTCTTTAAGCCCACATTTATTATCCAAGTTGATGCCCAATAAATGGAAGAATCCGAATTTGGCAAAA